AGAGAGAGAGAGAGAGCATTGTTGATGTTTGACAGATAGAGTGCTTGAAAAATTTATGAAAATGTCAGGACATTGAAAGTAAAAGGCTATGGAGCAAGGTTGAATGCCAAAAGCCCGAGATCTGAGAGGGGAGTGCCATGAGGCTGATGATCGTAGAGCTCGGATTTAATTAGGAACTCAATAGAGAGAGAGAAGAAAAGCTTTCTAGAGGCTCTGTAATTTTTTTTGTCGTGTATTTGTTGTGTGATCTCCTCTCTCTGACTTCCCATATTTATAGAAAAAAGATAGGCCAACGTTTCTTTTTCTCTAACGGATCTATGAGAAACTACTTCCCTGATCTCAGGAATACTCATCCATATGAACGTTGGAAAAATATTTGTAAAATAATTAATTATTTATATATATTACATTAAAGAATTTTTTAGCAATGGATAAACTTTAATAAACATGGGGTTCCTCCCATAAAAATAGTGAAGCTCACAAAAATAGGAAAGGCCACGTGAGGCCTTATGGCCACATGTGTCAACATCTCCCACTCTGCCATCGTGTTACCAACATCTTCCACTTGATCATAATGACCGACCGCAATAATAAGTCATAGGTACACTCCCACTTTTAAGTGTGACCTTTCAGACAATATTTTGTCATGAGGTTTTTCTCACGCTTTTGCGGATATGCCTTTCATAACAAATGTCTATAATTTCCATCACGAGGATTTTCATGCTAATGAGGATTTGTCACTCATGGAACACAACAGACTGAAACATTTTTAAGCCCCAACAAGCTAGTGTGCTTAGAAAGTAGGTCAACGCTTAGACCCTTTCTCATTGGGTCAGCGATTATATCTGATGATTGCAAGTAACTAACAATTATTTCATTTTTCTCAACTACATCCTAAATGTAGTGATATTGTACATCTATATGCTTTCTTTTGGAGCTATTTGCTCCACTTTGTATTAATTTAATTGCAGCTTGATTATCATAAAACATTTGAATCGGTCCGTCGATTATTTGCAGCTTCAAGTCATCTGTGAAGCGTTTTATCCAGATGGCGAAAGTGCATGCAATGCTACATGCAATATACTCTGCTTCTTGTGTGTACCTAGTGACACACCGTCGTTTCTTGCTAGACCAAGAAACAATTGCACTTCTAAAGAGGAAAACATGCCTGAGGTGAACTTACTATCGTTCGTAAGAAAACACAATTTTAGATGCTTTGTTCCCTTAATGTACCTCAGAATTCTTTTGACTGTTTTCCAATGGGCTCTACCCGGATTACTTTGATATCTACTTACAAGACCTAAAACATAGCTCAAATCTGGTCTTGTACATCATACTGCATAGGGAACATTAGGCTTTTCTTGTCCTTCTACTGAACAATCCTTTTTAGACAACTTCACTCCCTTTTTAACAGGAGTAAACAATGGTTTATAATTTTCCATTTTAAATCTTTTAAGAACAGAGTCAATAAATCTCTCTTGGCTCAAGCATAACATTCTTGATTTTCTATGTCTGGTTATTTTTATACCTAGGACATAAGATACTTCTCCCATGTCTTTCATCTCAAACCGAGAAGAAAGCCATGACTTGGTCTTATCAATCATTAACAAGTCATTTTCAGTGAATAGGATATCATCCACATATAATGAGAGTATTGTGAATTTACTTCTACTCTTTAAGACATACGCACAATGGTCCAATCTATTTACTTCATATCCCATCTGTAGGATGGCATCATGAAATGTTAAGTACCATTGCCTTGAAGATTATTTTAAACCATATAAAGAGTTATTTAATTTATATACTTTATTTTCTTGTTCCTTAATTATGAAGCCCTCAGGTTGCTTTATATAGATGGTTTCTTTTAGTTCACCATTCAAGAATGTTGTCTTTACATCCATTTGGTAAAGTTCTAGGTCATAATATGCAACGATTGCCAAAATTATTCTAATGGATATAAACATTTCAATAGAGGAATAAGTGTCGATATAATTGACTCCCTTTTTTGGGTAAAACCCTTTGCCACTAACCTATCTTTAAATTTATCAATTGATCCATCAGATTTTAGTTTCTTTTTAAGTACTCATTTAGAACCTATAGGTTTCCTTTTTGATGGTAAATCACATAGATCCCAAACTTTATTTTTCTCAATAGAATCTAATTCTTCTCTCATGGCATTACGCCATTCTTGAGATTCTTGTGTCTTCATTGCATCATTGAAGTTAAAGGGATAATGGATTTCATCTAGGCCAATAAAGTTGTCTATCTCCTCACTCATGTAGACATAGAAATCATCAAGGTATGATGGAGGAGCTTTGGACTTCTTTTAACCACTCAGCATATGGTGTGTGGGTACTTGAAAATCATCATGTTGATCAAGGTTATCAATATCCACTGTAGGTGGTGGTTCTAAGTCACCTATGATATTAAGTGGATCATCATTATCCAATGCAGGTAGGTTTTCTTCATTAAAATCTTCTATGAACTCAACATCTCTGCCTTCAATGAGTACTATGATAAAATTGATAACCCTTTGAACCTTCGAGGTATCTTATAAAATATAAACTAGAGTTTTATTTTCTAACTTATTTTCATGTTGATATGGAATTAGTACATGTGTC